AAAATAAATATTAAAAAATTCTCTCTCTCTCTCTCTCTCTCTCTCTCTCTCTCTCTCTCTCTCTCTCTCAAAAAGAAAAGTTATAGCAAATGTAAGAAAGGAAATAGGAGTGGGAGCGACATTTCAGGTCAAGATCTTCATATCTGTTACTTGGTGTGTGTTTATACATGTGTGTATAGGTATGTTTTCAGGTCATGATACAAATCTTCTTCTCATTCCCTTGGCCTCAGGGCATTCTGTGCTATCTATACATAAGGTTTTCTAGGGACTGGGAATTGGCTGCTAGGACATAAATTCAAGTGCATGGATGGAATCTGTATAGTTTAAAGCAGTGATTGTCAACCATAGGCAGTTTTGCCCCTCAGGGGACATTTGTCAATGGTTTGGGGGGAGGTAATGGATCACTGAGCCACATCCCCAGCCCTATTTTATATTTCATTTAGAGACAGGGTCTCACTGAGTTGCTTTAGCATATTGCTTTTGCTGAGGCTGGCTTTGAACTTGTGTTCCTCCTGCCTCAGCTTCCTGAGCCATTGTGATTATAGACAGGTGCCACCAGGCCCAGCTTGGAGACTTTTTTTTATTGTCATGACTTAGAGGGGTGGTACTATTGGCATCTACTATTAGTAGAGGCCAGGGATGCTGCTAAATATCCTATAATGCATAGCACAGTTCCCTACAATAACAAATTTTTGGCTCAAATGTCAGTATAATTTAGCTGGTTGAAAAACTGGTTTAAAGGTATACAGATGTGTATCAAATGATTGAGCTAGGACATTTTTCTAGTTAAGCTTATATTGTCTGCAAACAACAGAAACCTGAAATATTTAAAAAGTTATTGTGGTAGGTCACAGAATCAAAGGAAGATCTCAATGGCAAATCAAGAGAAGGGCAGGAACCATTCAACTCTTAAAAACTCATTGAAAGAATTCCTGAACCTTCCTCTTGGAGCAGGGTTTCTGAATCTCAGTATTATTGACATTTGGTCTAGATAATTCTTTGTTGTGGAGGGCTGTTCTGTCTCTTATAGGATGTTTAATGCTTCTAGACATTGCCAAACATCCACTGGAGGACAAAATTGCTCCTGATTGAGAACCACAATTGAGAGATGATGACCCATCTCTCAAAATTCCTAGTCTCTGATCTCTCCTTTCAAATATCAGATTCCTGGGACAGGAATTCTATGTGACCCAGTTCTGTCTATTCCTAGATCAATTAACAATGGCAAAGGGATGTACAACAAAGGTATGGTTATGGTCAGAATTATTTTGAGTCAAGGTTGCTGCTTTGCTTGTATCTGTAATAGTGAAGTAAATTAGATTTCCAGGATCCTCATTTGTTATTATAAGGAATTGAACTTACTCCCTGAGTTGGAGAGTGACTGCTAATTAAAAGAATTCTAGATAAAAGAGTGATATGATCAGTATAGAAGTCTGGTTTTTGGAATATAGGGTTCAGGAGCAACATCAGGTGAAAATATAGAGCTTTCAAGTAACTCAAGTAGAAAACTAATGTATTGGTAGGATATTGATGTCTTTCAGAA